GATTTATTCCTGTTACTGGTCTCCCAACACCTCTCTCGCCGAGTTTCACGACTTCCTCTTCTGATTGGAAAGGAGCATCAGGCAGTCCACAGACGACATCCTTCTTGCGAGGGATTTCAATGCCAAGCATTCCGACTGGGGATCCAAAACAAACGATCCTAGAGGCGAAGCGCTCTCAGAACTGATACATGCACTCGGTCTCCTCGCCTGCAACATAGGCAACAGTCCAATGTTCAAGTCCGGCTCCATCATCGACGTCACATTCTCTTCCCAAGCGGTGTCACACAGGGTCAGCGATTGGGGCGTCCTTGATGTGGAATCCCTAAGTGACCACAACTACGTGCGATTTAATATACGCACCGACCACAACCCCGCCTCTAACCTCGCTCCACCTAGGACGAAGTGGAAGTTCCGACCTAGCAAACTGGACGAAGCTCTCTCCACAGACAAATTCACCGCTTTCCCGGACCACACGGGCGCCGAGGTTGGTGCCGCACTCCTGACCAGCAAGATCAACGAGGCCTGCATGACTGAAACAGTCGTCGGAAACGGGAGGAAATTCGTCTACTGGTGGTCTCCAGTTATTCAGTAGTTAAGGAAAACCGCTAACCACACGCGTAGGGTTTTCCAAAGGAACAAGAAACGCAAGGGCCCGATCGCTGTTGCACCGGAAGAAAAACCGCCAAAGAGGCCAAGCTTGAGCTAGCCAAGGCTATAAAAGTGGCCAAGGACAGCGCATGGAAGGCGCTCTGTGACCAGGTCGAAAACGACCCCTGTGGCACTCCCTATAAAATAGTCATGGGAAAGCTAAGAAGGCACCAACCAATCCCAGGTTTCGACCCTCCAGCACTGTTGGCCGTATAGTCGATGCCCTCTTCCCTGCACACCCACCACCCAGTTCTGACAAACAATTAGATCCTAATTCAACTTTACTACCGAAAACTATCAGTATTAAGAAGAATGAACGATTAATGGAGTCGGTAAGAAGTGAACCAAAACGTTGTTTTAACTGCTACAGTCTATCGCACACCATCCGAGACTGTCTTAAACCAAAGCGGAAACCAGGATCATGTTTCAAGTGCGGATCAATGGGACATAGCCAGCGAAACTACAAAGTAACCAGCACCACTTCAGCGACAAAGGGTGATGACCCAGTTACCATGATTGAGATCAACGAACCAGGTAATCCACCATTGATGCTGAATATTGATGTTGAACGTGTAGGAGTAAAGTGGACAACAGATGCGATCGTTGATACAGGTAGTCCAATATGTATTATTAAACAAAGAAGAGTACCGTCTAATGTGTTAGTTACTCCTGTTAGCCCTAAGTTATCTGGAATTAATAATAGTCCATTGAAGGTGATAGAAATTATTGACTCAGCCATTTATGTTCCAAGTATATCTGTTCAATTAAATACTGTATTTTATGTTGTTGATAATGGAACTATGAGTTATGATTGTTTACTTGGTAGTAGTATTATATGTAATAAGTCAATTAAATGATTACATTTTTGATGATATTATACTTATTGATGTGGATGTTACAAACTCACATAGGTTAGATATAAACAGTGGTTTCTGTGTTAATCTTCAGGACCAGGTTAAGGACATTTTTAATAAGTGTTATATTTATGCATCTAAGCCAGTGGAAATTGATTTTAAATTTGAGATGGAAGTTATGTTTAAAAAAGACCACATTCCCTTTTATTTTAGGCCAAGACGTATGTCTTACATGGAAAAAGAAAAACTTAAATCCATAATTAATGAGATGCTCATCATATTGTTCACCCATTGTGTTAGTTTTAAAAAAACAGGTGATTAAAGACTTTGCATCGATTTTAGAGAACTGAATAAAATTACAATTAAGGACCGTTTCCCATTACCCTTAATTGATGACTATTTGGATATGCTAAAAAACAAAAAGTTTTTTACACGATTAGATCTTAAAAATGCGTTTTATCATGTCAAAGTTAAAGAGGATTCAATTAAATATCTCTCATTTGTAACTCACATGGATCAGTTTGAGTTTATGCGCATGCCTTTTGGTTTTTGTAATAGTCCAGCTATTTTCAGCTATACCAATAACATATTTCACTCACTAATTGAACAAAATAAAATATTTATTTATTTGGATGATATTTTAATTGGTACACATACTGTTGATGAAAATTTGGAAAAAAAAGTTTTTTCTATTATGTCACAGAATCATCTCGAAATCAGACTAGATAAATGTTCATTTTTACAAGAAAAAATTCAATATTTAGGCTATGAAGTCAGTKTTAATGGTATACAACCCAATCCAGATAATATTAATGCAATAAATAATTTTCCTATCCCAAAAAATGCTAAAGAGGTTCATAGTTTTCTTGGTTTGGCTAGTTATTTTAGAAGGTTTGTGAAAGATTTTTCAATTATTGCTAAACCTTTATACAATTTTATTAGAAAAGAAAGTGAGTTTAATTTTGAGGAAGAACAATTGTCTGCATTTGAAAAGCTAAAGACATCTTTAGTTTCTTCTCCAGTATTATGTTTATATTCTCCATCATTAGAGATCGAATTGCATTGTCAACTAGGTTTTGGTTCTGTGTTAGTTCAAAAACAAAATTTTGATAATAAGTTTCACCCTATATTTTATTTCAGCAAACGTACCACCGACTATGATACTAGATACCATAGTTATGAACTTGAGTGTTTAGCCATAATTTATGCTTTAAAAAGATTCCATATTTACTTACAGGGTATTCCATTTACCATGTTTACAGATTGTGATAGTTTAAGATTAACGTTAAACAAAAAAGATATTTGTCCTAGAATAATGCATTGGGCATTGTATTTACAAGATTATAATTATACAATAGTTCATCGCTCTAATAAGCAAATGTTTCATGTTGATACCCTTAGTAGAATTCAAAATATACTCGTGTTAGAGGCAAACACTATTGATTAAGCAATCTACTGATCCAGAGATAGTAAACATTCGTATCAAGTTAGAAAATTCAGATAGGTATACCGTTTTATGAATTACGTAACGGCTTAGTATACCGTACGGTGGGCAAAAAATTACTTTTTTATGTACCAAATGAATTAATTGATAATGTTATTAGAACCTGTCATGACAACATGGGCCATGTCGATGCTGATAAAGTAGTTGAGCTTATTCAAAATTCATATTGGTTTCCCAATATGAAAGAGAAAGTCAAGTTATATATATCAAAGTGTTTAAAATGTTTATCTTTTAMACCAAATAGTGGTAAAACTGAAGGATTTCTATACCCTATTCCTAAAGRAAACCTTCCTTTTAAYACCATTCACATAGATCATTTAGGCCCGTTTGAAAAGGCACCTCGTGGATATAAATACATATTTTTAGTAACTGATGCGTTTACTAAATTTGTGAAATTATTCACTACTAAAACTACCAACCGTAATGAAGTCATTAAACATCTAAAGATTTATTTTAATTGTTACAGTCGACCTATTAGGATTGTCTCAGATAGAGGTTGTGCTTTTACTTCAGCTTTATTTAAAGATTTTATGAATGAAATAACATTCAACTTATTCATATTGCTACGGGTACGCCTAGGGCCAATGGGTAAGTTGAGAGGGTAAACCGTACAATTATCCCTATGATAGCCAAACTAGCACCAACCATATCACAATGGGATAAAACCTTAATTGACATTGAATATGTAGTGAATAATACTGTTAACCGTTATGCCAATCAAGCACCTGCAATGTTATTATACGGTGTTAAACAATTAGGTAGACCTAATGATAAAATAAAAATGTACTTAAACTCTTGTATACAAAGTATTGATAGGAATTTAGTTAAACTAAGACAAGAATCTGCTAATCAAATAAATAAAGTTCAATTACAGAACAAAACTAATTATGATAAAAAACATAAACAACCAACAAATTACATTGAAGGGGACTTAGTATTAATAAGAAACTATGATGTAACTATTGGGGCTAATACAAAACTAGTACCTAAATTTAAAGGTCCTTATTTAGTCAAAAAAACCTTACCCAATGATAGATTTGTAATTACTGACATACCAGGTTTTCAGCAAACACAAAGACCCTATAAAGGAATTATTTCTATAGGAAACAAGGATGTGGCAAACTGGTCTTGATTTTTGACAAAGCGAATCACTGTTTGTTACTGTGATATTGTAAAAATATAGTATGTTAACACTTCCATGGTTATTCAGGTATGATTTTTTTTCTCTAATCATTATGTTAATTAAGACCATTATGTTATGCAATTATGTTATTAAGATGTTATGCATTTATGAATTTATTATGTTATTAAGATGTTATGCATTTATGAATTTATTATTTTATTTAAGACCATTGTGTTATGCACTTAAGAATTTATTATGTTATTTCTGATCATTATGTTATGAACTCTATCTGCTACTATTTTTTTTTTTTTTTATTATTCATTATTAAAATATGTTGTCTATGGTTGAGGGCAACCCTAAGTCAGGATGGACGAGTTGTAGGTAGAGATGTGGAATTTACCGGTAAAAAAATTTCGGTAAATTTACCGGTAAAATTTACGTAAATTCACGTAAAATTCGGTAAATTGGTAAATTTTGAAAAAAAACTAATTTTAAGTGAAATTTTTCTACAATTTTCAAATAAAGCTTATGTATCAAATTTTTTACCTTTTTTCACCATTTTTATGAATTAACATAAAACTATATTATGTAAAATAAATCATGAAACTTGTATTAAACATAAAAACATTACTTCAATAGTTCAATTACTTTGTTTTTTTTTAATATAATTACTTTTATCAAAATAAAAAAAATAAATTAATAGTTTATAATATAATAAACAACAGAACAAATAACAAAATAAGTAACATATCTTTAAAAAACAAGAAAACTTAAATCAWTAACAAAACTGTCTGCAGACTTATACAGTACCTAATACAGTAATACATAATAATAATTAAAAATTTAATTTAAGTTCGGAACATATATTTACTTAATCAAGATTAGGTTTAATGGAGTTAAAAAAATCATCATCACTTGAATCAGTTTCACCAAACTGATCTCCTTCAGACTCTACTACTATGTCATCAGTATTGTAATATTCTTCCTSGTTCTCACTACTAGAACTAGTAGAACTACAAGCCTGATAACTACAGGAAGGCTCATCATCGTCATTGTTAACGGTTAAAGATTCTTGGTTTGTTTGTACACTTTTTACCGGTTTTGACACTTCCAGGTCTCGATTATTTATATGTTCATAAATAAATAGTAACTTTTTGGCTGTTAAATTTGTGAGGCGATTTCTCCTTTTAGTATGGATRAGTGAATAAGAGCTAAAAGAACGCTCTGTAGCTGCTGAGGATGCAGGCAAGRAAAGAATAGCAGATGCTACTTTTGATAGACTTGTGTTTGAACAAAGGCCATTCCACCAGATACGTGCTTCAATATCATCAATATTGTTCCATAGAATATCTTTGGCCCATAATCCTTCGTGTGAACGATACTCGGCTAGTTCAATTATTATCTGTGAAATAAAATGAAAATTAAATACACAAAAAACCAATACAAAAATATTAAATTTACAAACAGTTAATTTTTAGTCAAAACAATAGGTTACAATTCAATAATATTTTAATATGATCTCATTGATAGTACCCATTAATTGTATAATTTATTTAACAAAGTAATATTATTATTTAATAAAACACTGACAAGTATGAAATAAGTAGTTATTTGATGAAAAAACATAATACAGAAATATTTATAACAATTGTATATTTACCTTGTTATATTCATTTGGTGTTAATAATTTATCAGCAACTTTTTGTATATAAACAATTCCCTCTACATCACATCCTTGAGGTAAATCTTTCCCTTGATATTTTGGGTCTAAGACGTTTGCTGCATAATGAATCGGATGAATAGCCATATCATAACGTTTATCAAATGCTTCATTTAAAATATTTTGTTCTTCTAAGAGTAAAGGAGAAGTAGACATTTGCAACATAACATTGTTTTTTATATCATTCAAAGCAGCCGGAACATCAGACAACCTTGGTATATCAKACTCTAATTTTGTTATCCAAAGAGTGATTGGACTAATTAGAGTAATAATACTTTCAACAAGCTCCCAGAATTCATCTGATAAAATGCTTTGTTTTACACTTTTGTCAAGTCTTTCAATTACCTACAAAATAATTTGATCAATAATATTTCTTGTTAGTTTTTGTTTTTATCATTTATTGAATATATTATGTAAATATTATAACATTTATATAGGTATATCTAAATATCACTTACACTTAAATCTTCAGAGACAGCTAGCTGTTGTAGTACATTTTTATTTTTAYGAAGACTCTTTAAGCATATACAAAGTGAACCCCATCTTGTTGTAACTGGTAGTTTTAAGGAACAGTCAATTTTTTTTGTTTTTTGAATGTTCGTAAAGTTGGCTATTAAAAAGTCATATAATAATACATTACTACATCAGGTACAGTGTATTATTTTAAATAGCTACTATAATATAATTATATATTATATTATATATAATTTATTGTTAAATACATTACCTTTAAGAATATGACTGCTAATTATATTTTTGACTATGTTTTTWGATTTTTTTTCAATTTCCATACATGATTTTAATTTAATTATATCAGCTATCAAAAGATTTAAAGTGTGGCAAATACATGAATAAAATGCAATTGGTAAATTTTTGWAACGGTCATCTTTTTGTAAAAGTATCCATGCTTTTTTCATGGATGATGCATTATCTGTAACAACTCCAARACATTTATTTCTATCCAAATCATCAATCACTTTACCCAGTTCAGTAGCAATATATTCCCCTGTATGACGCTCTGTGTTACAATCTATTGTTTTAAATACAAATGGTTTTGGAGTAGTAACTATGATATTCATTATGGACTCATTTCTGAAATATTTATATGATTATTATTTTAAATTGT